TATTTTTCTCATTTTAATTTCACTGATCTTTATTCTTACTTTTATTATGTTCTTCCTCCTCCTCGTTTTGGGTTAGATTTGCTCTTCTTAGTATGCTAAAGGAGAGAAGTACAGTTTATCTATCTGAAACAGTTCTTCTGTACTTTTGTAAATCTTCAGTGCTGGATATTTCCTTTAAAGCTTCACTTATTTGTAGGGCAAGTATCTTGTAATGCTTTAATTTTTTTCATTGAATAATAAATTATATTTCAAAACTTTCTTTAAAATTTTCTCTTTAATCCATGGATTATCTCATGGTATGTTGTTTAACTTACAAGCATTTAATGATTTTCTATTACAACTCTATTATTTTTATATTGTATTATACTACTAATTATATGTCTATCAGGGGACACACTTGGTAGGTTTTTAGTCCTTTCTCTTACTCTTCATCTATTTGGAAACTGTTCTATGGTGTTCTAAAAGATTGTATCTGGCTGGCACTGCATAGTGCTCAATAAATATTTGTTGGGTCTTACTGCTTTGTAATAATGTTTGCTTCTTTATCCTTGCAGGTATTGATTTTAGAGATTGTTGGTAGTTTTTTTTAATAAATTTATTTTTTTATTAATTACAATTTATTCATTTTGTATCCCAGCTGTAGCCTCCTTCCTCATTCCCTCCTAATCCCACTCTTCCTCCCTCTTCTCCTTCCATGCCCCTCCCCTACTCTACTGATAGGGGAGGACCTCCTCCCTTCCCTCTGACCCTAGCCTATCAGGTCTCATCAGGACTGTCTGCATTGTCTTCCTCTGTGGCCTGGTAAGGCTGCTCCCCACTCAGGGGGAGGTGATCAAAGAGCCAGCCACTGAGTTCATGTCAGAGACAGTCCCTGTTCCCCTTACTAGGAAACCCACTTGGACACTGAGCTGCCATGGGCTACATCTGAGCACGGGTTCTAGGTTATCTCCATGAATGGTCCTTGGTTGGACTATCAGTCTCAGGAAAAAAAAAAACCTTCGGCCCAGATTTTTGGTTCTGTTGCTTTCCTTGCGAATTGTTGGTAGCTTTGAGAGAGCAGTGTTAAAATTACTAATTACAAGTTTGAATCTTTCAGAGATTTCTAATTTATCAGTTTTGCTATATAGTTCAAGGCTATATTTTTTAGCATTACTACGTATTTTTGTTGAATTGACTCTTTTTGGTGTTTTGTTTTGTTTTTAAGACACGGTTTCTCTGTGTAGCCTTGGCTGTCCTGAACTTGCTTTGTAAACCAGGCTGGCCTTGAATTCACACATATCCACTTGCTTCTTCCTTCCAGAGTGCTGTGATTACAGGCGTGCACCACTGCACCTGGCTTGCCCTTTCATAGTTAAACAATGTCTCTGTTTGTTCCATATAGTTGTCTTTGCTGTTGTCTACAATATTAGATATTATCTTACTTCAGTTCTATTGATTAGTATTTGCATGTTGGTCTTTGCTGTGATTTTTACTTTTAACCATTTTTAATTATATAGTAAATGGATTTTTAAATAATTAGCATGTGTTGGGACTTTTTTCTGTCTCGTTTCCTTTGATTAGTGTGCTTATGTAACATTTACATTTAATATAATTGTGTTAGGATTTAAGATTTCCAGTTCATTGTATGCTTCTGTAGTTTCTAATTATTTTTGCTTCCTCTTCATTGTCTTCCTTTCCGTTTATTGAACAGTTTTAGTATCCCATCTCAACTCATACATAGTCAACTTTTTTCTAAGTGCTCTTATTAAGATAAAATTCACATACATACAACTTACTAATCAAAACATATAATTTAATGGTTTTATTTTTAATGACATACTTAATATTAAAACAATTTTGTTACGACCCTCTGCTAAGAAATCTCATACCTCTTATCTGGGACTAGCTCAAATCTAACAGATTCCTTAAAGTTCAAGGCAACTGCTAATGTACTCTGAATAGATATATTTATACCAGACACTTCATATAAATAAAATCATACAAAATATGGTATTTGGACCGGCTTCTTTGACTTAGCATATGTTTTCAAGGTCCATCCATGTCATAGTATATATTTGATCTTGTTGCTTTTGTTGAATATTATTTCAGTTTGTGGACCAATAGCATTTTTTTAGCCATTCATCAGCTAACTACTTGTGATTTCACTTTGGAGCTTTGATGAATAGTACTATTATTAGCATTTTGAGCCTGCTTTTACCTGCTTCATTTGTCTCAGGTACAAATTTGGGGATGGACTTGTTGCATCAAGTTGTTATTCTGGGTTTAATGTCTGGAAGAATTATTTTCCAAAGTGGTGATACCATTTAATATTCTTTTCTAACAGTAGATGAAGATTTTTACTTTTCCTTATTCACATTAATATATAATATGCTTATTAGGATTGCTATTCTAGTGTGTTAAAGAACGTACCTATACAGTGCAGTTGAAATGGCTCAGTAAGTAAAGGTTTTTGCCACCCAGCCTGATGTTTGATCCTCAGAGCCTTCATGGTGGAAGGACAGAGCTGACACCCACAAGTTGTGCTCTGACCTCCATATATGTGCTATATCATGCATACATGTACACGTGTGTTCATACAATCAAATATTCCTAAATTATTTTATTATTCCTTTTAATTGTGTGCATGTGAACTCAGTGTCCATGGAGGCCAGAGGGTGTTAGTCCCCTGAAGATTGAGTCACGGGATGTGTGAGCCACCCAGCATGGGTTCTGGGAATTAAAGTTGGTTCCTCTGCAAGAGCAGAGCGCACTGTTAGCCACTGAGCCATCTCTGCAGTCTCTCACACACACCCAAAACTTAATTCACCTCTACATCAGTTGATAGCCACAACATATAGTGTTTCAGTTTTGCTTTTCAGTCCTCAAAAATTTAATTCATAAAAATGAGGAAAATAACTGCTGTATTTGCAGATACTGTTCAGTTATCATTCTTTATTCCCAATATTCTAGGTTTTTCTTTTATCACCTTTCTCTTTGAAGAACTTCCTATATTAATTTTATGAGACCTGTCTGATGGCTTTAAATTCTGTTAGTTTTTCTTTATTTGACCTTTAGTCATGAAAGATTTTTTAACTAGGATTTATGAATTGACAGTTTTGGTTTTCTCCCAATACTTGAAAAATGTGCCCCAGCCTCTTGCTTCAAATGAAAAATATGTCTTTTGAATGGCAACTCCCCACAGGTGAGTGTTGGCTTTCTTTGCTGCTTTCATAATTTCTTTCTATGTCTTCAGCTTTCATAAGTTTGATTTGATTTACTCAACATAGATTTCTTTGGCTTTATTTTGTTTGATATTTTCCCAACTTCTTACATATGTGGATCTTCGTCTTTTAACAAATTTGGGCCATGTGTAGCCATTATTTCTTAAATTGAGTTTTTACTTTTACTTTATATTTTCTAAATGTTTACATGCGTATATATGTTTGTGTGTGGATTCAAAAGTTTGGGTATGTGTGTGCCATAGCACATGGATGTGGAGGTCAAATGACAACCTTGGGTATTGGTCCTTCCCTTCCACCTTGTTTGTAATGGTGCCTGTCTGTGCTCTGCTCTATACCGCAGGCTGGATGGCCTGAAGTTTCCAGGGTCGTCTTGTCTCTGTCTCCCATCTTGTAATAGTAACAGTAGATTATAGGCTCATGTTACTGTGCCCAGCTTTTACTGGGTCCTGTGGATTCAAACACATGTCCTCATACTGGTGTGGTAACTGCTTCACCCACTAAATCATCTCCCCAATTTATGAACTCTGTTTTTTATCTTTTATCGTTTTTCTTATATCTTGAACATTAATGCTATATTACCATTCTTTTGTTACTGATTTGAAAAATCTTCAAAACTGTTAAGTCTTTTTGTTTGTGTCTTTAGTGTTTGTTCTTCAAACTGAATAACTTCTGTTTAGAGATTCTTTCCTGTGCCATCTTCATTCTGTTCTTAAGCTGTTTGGTGAGGTTATGCTTTTGCTTATTTTATTGGTATGCACTGTTTATTTGAAATGGATCGCCGTATGAGCCAGAATGGTGTTGTCCACCTGTAGTCTCTACACTGGCTAAACCAGGAAGATTATGACTTTGAGGTCACCAGTGTCTACAGAGAGAAAGTCTCTATCAAATGTGTTCCTATTATATAAGATTATATAATGTATATTATGTGTGTGTATACCAGTAAATAAAGTTTTGCTTTGGCTTGCTTTTCTATTTCTCATTCTTTGCAGAGACTTATTTCCACACTTGTGTCAAGAGTATTGATAATTGATTATTGGAGCACTTTTGGAATAATTATTTTAAATATTGTCAGGATTATAATATCTGGATCATCACAGTTACTCTTTTGTTAAGTTAATATTTTCATAACTCAAGTTATTTAGTAATTTGCAACTATACCTTTGACTTTATGTACTATGAGACTAGATTCTCTTTTTCTCTTCTATTTTAGATTAACAACTTGTTTGGGTTTACAATAAACATTCTGTTTCAATTTTATGGACTTTAGTTCAAGTGTCAATTTAGTTTTCAGATCCTTGCAGGCTCATCTGGCCTTTGCAACTTCTGGGCTGTGTGTTCCAGGTTAGGACCTGGGCAGGATCCCACCTGTAATTCTGTTCCCAGAGCTTTTGCTATCCTGATTCTGGTCAGTTTCATAGGAGTTGTTCAGATACAACATCCTTTGCTTAATTCAGGGTACCATAGCTGACAAGGCTCCTCCCAAGCACCCAGTGGGCAGGAGAATGTTGCATTGTTTTCTTTTCATCTCTGTACAGAATCATGTGACAGGGCTCTTTATGTCTCAGTCTTTCTCCACCATCTGCTCTCAGTATGTATAAATATAGGTCAATAAACTCTGAGCTTCAGTGGTCAATAATGTAGGAATGCTGATATCTACCTCATAGACTAAATTAAAATGAAATAATATGCGGTGTACTTAGCATAGTACTGGAATTGTATCTCCTACTTATATTTGTAGTAAAGACAATTGTTAAATATCACTCTTTGTTGTATTTATAGGAAACCCAGCTCTGAAGGACAAAGAAGACCAATTTGGAAGAACACCACTTATGTATTGTGTGTTAGCAGACAGACTGGACTGTGCAGATGCTCTTCTGAAAGCAGGAGCAGATGTCAATAAAACTGACCATAGCCGGAGAACAGCCCTTCACCTTGCAGCTCAAAAGGTGAGAACTCAGATTACCTTGCAGAGGAGACAGTGTGGCTGTTTGTTATTTAACTGGTAGAACTCTACAATGAAAAAAAAAATAAGAAAGGAATGACACCCAGGCTTCTGGGAGTCTCCAAAAAATAGTCCATGAACTGTGGGTTAAAGTGCAGATGACTGGGTCTGAGGAGATAGCTCAGTTGACAAAGTGTTTGCCTTACAAACACAAATATTCCCAGAACTTATGGGGCAGTAGAGATCAGCAGATAAATGGAGACTCTCTAGCTAGCCAGCCTAGCATAATCAGTGAGTTCTAGGCCCAGGAAAGGACCCTGTAGGGGCAAAAAGGAGGGTGGATGGCACCTGAGAAACAGCATCTAGGGCTGATACATACTACAAACATACAGGTGCAAGCGTTCCTTGCACATACACGCACACACAAAATCCAAGGAGATTTTATGGAGAGAAGACAAAGACTAAAAAGAAACACATAGCAGTGTTTCCAGTGATTGGGTTTAGTATTGTAAATGAACACAATCTTTGTGCTTGGTATAGTTTTCTTTTTTCCTTCATGAATATTACTTTTACAATTAAAAATTTTATTCTCCTTAGAAATCTGTGGCATCAGAGCCATAAAAAAATTTATTTTCTACGGTACTTTCAGATGTTTAAAAATAAGAAGTTATTGGAAATATCAGTGATTTCAAGTTTTTAAAGTCATCGTTACAATTCAGATATTTTTTGTTGTTTTGTATTTTTTGAGACCAGGTCTTACTATATAGCTCTACTGTCCTAGAACTCACTATGTAAACCAGGCTGACCTCAAATTCACAAGAGATCTGCCTGCCTCTATCTCCCAAAGGCATGTACCACTATAATAGGTTCAGAGTTTAGATTTCTAAGATGAAACACAGGAAAAAGATAAAACAAGAAGCTTCTAAATTAATTTAAAGACTTGCCTAAAAATCATTTCCCTCCATAAAGTTTTAGTTAATAAGACATATGTGTAGCTTATGGTATTTTTTGTTACATTAGACTTCATATTTTTATAATTAAAAAAATGAACATGAGTTAGATCCAGCATAAACCATTAGTGGTTTTTCCCATTTAGAAATATGACCAGACAGAGGTGATTAATTGAAGGGTTAGAAAAATACCTTTTCATGTGCGGAATGCATAAAAAGAGGCTGACATTAATATCTGCTTCCCGCTGTGCACTTACCAGTGAGATCTGTCAGATTGCTTCCAGTTACTTCTGGATTGATTTCATTACATTAATTTCTAAAAAACAAAACATACCTCTTGTTTTAACCTCAGTTTTAACTGCTACTCAAGTATTTATAACCTTTTGCCTAGGCTAGTCAATTGCCTAAATTATTCCCTGAAAAATAACCATATTCACCTTATCATTAAAAAAAAAAAAGTTAGGAATGGCCCCAACATTAAGAATTTAGTGTTCTTTAGACTTCTCATTATAAATCACTTAGGTATGAGATTCAACTTTTTAAAATGTAGATTGGAAGAGCCTGAGGTCAGGTAGATTATTTGGTGGGCTGGGTGAGGTGAGATAAGGATTCAAGTTGATGCTCTGATACTGAGAGAGCGTTCTTCTCACAGAGCTAATGGGACCAGCATGGCTGACAGAGGGGCTTGCCTCCTCAGCCGCATCAGCTTTGTCAGATGCAGCACTGTTTCCTGTTGCTTTTTGTTTCTGCCTTAATTTGTGTTTTGTTTATTTGTTTGTTTTGTGGGGTTTTTTTGTTTTGATGGGTGGTGGCTTTGTCCATGTATGTCTGTGTGTATGATTGTGTCTGTGTCTGTACCTGTCTCTGTATGTGTGTGTCTCTGTGTCTGTTTGTGTGTGTCGCTTTGTGTGTATGTGTGTGTCTGTGTCTGTGTGTCTATGTCTGTATGTGTCTGTGTGCATGTTTGTGTGTCTATGTCCCTGTGTGTCTGTATGTCTGTTTCTGTGTGTGTCTGTTTTAGTGTTCTGTTTTGAGACAGGATCTCACAGTGCAGCATTGACTGACTTCAAACTTGTGACAATTCTCCCACTTTGGCCTCCCAACTGATAGAATTAAAGCTACAAGCCATAATACCAGGCTTCCTATTTTTATATTTTTTTTATTTTTAAAATTCTTATTGTGTGCTGTATATACATGGTGTGTGTGTAGGCATACATGTCACAGAGCATATGTGGAGGTCAAAGTCAGTTCCTTCCACCTTTACCTGGGTTTTGAGGATTGAGCTTGGACTTGACGGTCTCCAAGCTTCTGCAGCAAATGCCTTTGCCCACTGTCTTAGTTATTTTTCTATGGCTGTGATAAGACACCATGACCAAGGCAACTTATAGAAGAAAGTTTATTTGGACTTGTGGTTCCAGAGAGTTAGAATCCATAATGGGAAAATGAAGGCATGGTTCTTGGAATAGCAACTGAGAACCACAAACAGGAAGCAGAAAAAACAAACTAGGAATGGCCCAAGACTTTGAAATCTCAAAGCCCACCCTTAGCAACATACTTCTTTCAGCAAGGGCACATCTTCTAACCTTCCCCTAATGGCCAACAACTGGGAACCACATATTCAAAAATCTGATGCTGTGAGATACATTTTCATTCAAACTACCACATCCACTGAGGCATCTTAGTAGCCTTGGTTTCTTAATTATGGTTTTTATGGTGTCAAAGAATAAATAGAACTAAGACTTATATGTTAAAACTTATATAGCTGATTACACAAATTGCATGGTTCATGTTCTTTCAAGTGTCTAATAGTTACATCACCCCCCATTACTGTTGTTTTTTTTTTTTTTTTAAACATGCTTGCCAAGAACAGGGATGTGCTTTTTCAAGTAGGGTTCAGTGAAACCTAGCAGTGAGCAGCAGCTGGACAGTGGAAAGGCTGAGAGGTGATTATTTTAAAATTATCCTACATTTTCATTTCTTTTTTTTTTTTTTTACTTTTTCTTTCTCTCTTTAGTTTTTTATATTACAGTTTATTCACTTTGTATCCCAGCTGTAGCCCCCTCCCTCAGCCCATCCAAATCATACCCTCTCTCCCTCTTCTCCTTCAATACCCCTCTCTCAGTGCACTGATAGGGGAGGTCCTCCTCCCCTTCCATCTGACCCCAGCCTATCAAGTCTCATCAGGACTGCCTGCATTGTCTTCCTCTGTGGCCTGGTAAGGCTGCAGTCCACCCAGAGGCAGGTGGTCAAAGAGCCAGCCACTGAGTTCATGTCAGAGACAGTCCCTGTTCCCCTTACTAGGAAACCTACTTGGACACTGAGCTGCCATCGGCTATATCTGTGCAGAGGTTTTAGATTATCTCCATGAATGGTCCTTGGTTGGAGTATCAGTCTCAGAAAAGATCCCTGTGCCCAGATTTTTTGGTTCTGTTGCTCTCCTTGTGGAGCTCCAGTCCCTTCCAGGTCTTTCTGTCTTCCCCTTCTTTCATAAGATTCCCTCCACTCTGCCCAAAGTATGGCTATGAGTCTCAGCATCTGCTTCAATACCCTGCTGGGTACAGTCTTTCAGAGGCCCTCCTGTCCTGTTCCCTGTTTTCTCCCACTTCCTCTGTCTATCCCATTTCCTTTCTGAGTGAGAATTGAGCAACTTCCCTAGGGTCTTCCTTCTTGCTTAGCTTCTTTAGGTTTACAGATTTTAGTATATTTATCCTATATTATATGACTAATATCCATTTGAAGTGGATATTATATACCATGTGTGTCTTATCTGCTTCTGGGTCACCTCACTCAGGATGATCTTTTCTAGTTCCCACCATTTGCCTGCAAATTTCATGATTTCCTTGTTTTTAATTGCTGAGTAGTATTCCATGATGTTAATGTACCACAATTTCTGTATCCATTCCTCCATTGGGGGACATCTGGGTTGTCCAGATTCTGGTTATTACAAATAAAGCTGCTACAAACATGGTTGAGCAAATGTCTTTTGTATACTTTCTCATATTTTGGATATCTGCCTAGGAGTGGTATCGCTGGATCTTGAGGAAGTGCTATTCTTAATATTCTGAGAAAGCGCCAGATTGATTTCCAAAGTGGTTTACATGCCCACCAGCAATAGAGGAGGGGTTCCCTTTCTCCAGATCTTCTCCAGCAAGCTTTGTCACTTGAGTTTTTGATCTTAGCCATTCTGATAGGTGTAAGGTGAAATCTCAGGGTCATCTTGATTTGCATTTCCCTTATGACTAAGGACACTGAACATTTCTTTAAGTATTTCTCTGCCGTTCGATATTCCTCTGTTGAGAATTCTCTCTTTAGCACTGTACCCCATTCTTTTAATTGGATTACTTGATTTGCTGTTTAACTTTTTGAGTTTATATATTCTGGATATTAGCCCTCTGTCAGATAGAGTGTTGGTGAAGATCTTTCCCAGTCTCTAGGCTGTCGTTTTGTTTTGATGACAGTGTCCTTTGCTTTACAGAAGCTTTTCCATCTCATGAGATCCCATTCATTGATTGTTGATCTTAGAGCCTGTGCTATTGGTGTTCTACAGTAAGTTGTCTCCTGTGCCAATGAGTCAAGGCTCATGTCCACTTTTTCTTCCAATAGGTTTAGTGTGTCTGATTTTATGTTGAGATCTTTGCTCCACCTAGACTTTAGTTTTGTGCAAGGTGATAAATATGGATCTATTTGAATTTTTCTACATATAGATATCCGGTTAGACTAGCACGATTTATTGAAGATGCTGTCTTTTTTTCCATTGTATGCTTTTGCCTTCTTTGTCAAAAATAAAGTATCCGTAGGTGTGTGGGTTTATTTCTGGATCTTCAGTTCAACTTCATTGATCCACCATTCTGTTTCTATGCTAGTACCATGCAGTTTTTATTACTTTTGCTCTGTAGTACAGCTTAAGATTAGGGATGGAGATACCTCTATATAATCTTTTGTTGTACAGGATTGTTTTAGCAATTCTGTTTTGTTGTTGTTGTTGTTGTTGTTTGTTTTTTCATATGAAATTGAGAATTCTTCTTTCATGTTCTATAAAAAATTGTGTTGGTAT